AGCATTGACCAACTTGGACATCACTGACTGACCTGCTCCGATTTAGTTGTAGCTGGGTCACAGAGGACCTGAAAGACGACCTCGAGGGCCTCACTGTCTGCCGTGAACCAGACGATGGCGAGGAGCTTGGCGAGGACGTACTTGAGGGTCCTGTCTACAATCGCACGGAAACTAGAATGGAGGAACTGGTACAGGAAGGACCTCCAGCTAAAAAGGGCATGTCCCCAATGTCAATGGTCCTCCAGCCCGAGTCCGTCATGATGATCTCCTCGACCCCGTCGGAGTCACCTGAAATCCCAAAGTTTCAAGGGCAATCAAATCGGATACTCATGATACATGTAACCTGCTGCCGAGAGACGGTACCCCTCTCTGGGGTAGAGGCCGCGGGCGCGGACGTCCACGGACTCGAACACGGCATTTGGATACTTCCCCTTGAGGTATCCAACCATGCCGTGTCGGCCGAAAAAGCCATCCGAGGACGAGCCTGAGCAAGCAGCAGGAGTCTGAACAAACAGGAGTGAAAGCACACTCACAAAATTTAATGCAAGCTGGCTGCGGCCGTAGGAGTACCACCTGTCCACACCCCAGGCCACCAGAACGGACCAAATGAGGGCCCTCCTCATCTCGGCCTTGAGGGCGTCGATCTGCTGTCGATCCATGGCGAGGACGACGAGGCGAGGACGCGGGTTAGTGAGGGCGAGGTCGAGGATGGGGCGATTAGACCACCAGAGGGTGAGGCCGAGGACAGGGGCGATTAGACCACCATGTCAAAATCGTGCCGTGAAAATCTTAGGTAAGGGCTCTTAGAATCAAGATTGTGATCTGACATGTCATGCCAATAACGGCGGGACATCTCATCCTTGAACCAGCGAGCTCCGGAGAAAAGCTCATGCCATGCTGCTCAAGCTCAGCCACAACAACACTCAACTGCACATGCACTCGCAAGCACACTCACTGAGCAAAAGCATGATGGCCAGACCTCGGCAGCATCTTCGAGGACGAGGGGCCAGCCACAGCGACCTGAACGCTCAGCTTTTGCATGGGTTTTCGGCTTAATTAAGGGTAGGGCTTGGGTTGTTTAGGTTTTAATGGTTGAGGCTTGTTGGTGTGAGTGCGAGGGCGTCAGTGCAAATTATGATGCGAAATACTTCTATTGTGATCCGGGTTGAAACTATAAGGCTCCACACCCTGATTCTTACAGCGAATTACAGAAAGGGTGACGCTGTAACAATCGAAATTTAGACGGACCTGTGGCCGACATTGTAGCAGCAAGTAACCGCTATATTGATGGTATTTATCGACTACACTATTTTCTGGCCATCCACACCTAAATCAAAAGTCAAGTAACCCCTTAACACCCTGAATCCCGACCAGCCTGCTCAGCTCAAGCTGAGAGATGCATGAAGAGGAGGACGATGTGCAAGGTCCCGTGGCTTTGTAAGGGAGGTTTAAGGTGTATGCTGAGGGATGGGTGAGGACGAGGATGATAGCACTGAAGGGAAGGTTTGGAGTTAGAATGTCGAGTTCAGGCTTGTTTATGGTCTGACGATGGCCAATGAGGGGGAGTGTTTGGGTCTCTATGTTATGAACCCTGAGAATGGGAAGCTCCCAGTAGCCAACACTGAAAACAGGAGTGGGGGACTAAGCGGGGACGAGGACAAGTCCAAACATGACTTGAGTTACTTGAACAACTCGAGTCGAGGACGAGGGCACCCCGAAAATATTACAAACCCTATGCTAAATTAGATTAAATCAACTAATGATTAAATTACAACTACGACCTGTATCGGTCGATGCTACACTACGACCTGCATCGGTCAAAACAACCCCCCGAGCCTATCACCTACGAGGACGAGGGCACTACAACTACGACCTGTATCGGTCGATGCTACACTACGACCTGCATCGGTCGAAACCCCCATACCCTGAGCCTATCACCTACGACCTACGACCTGTATCGGTCGATTTAAACTAGCCTATACCCCTACGACCTGTATCGGTCGACAACCCTACGACCTGTCTCGGTCGGCAGCCCTGTAAACTTAGCCTATTCCTAAACCGGAGACACTAAAAACCCAAGACCCTCAGAGTGCAAGCCCTCTGGGCGCCCAGGCCAGCTGTGGCCGAGGATGTGGAGGGCTTCGAAGATGAGGAACATGTGCACAAGCACACACACAAAGACACAGTGCAGAAAACGAGGACGATGGCATGTGCATGTGCCCACGATTGTTGGTGCATGCATGTGCATGTGTGTGTGTGTGTGTGTGTTTGCGCATGTGTGTGTGTGTGTGTGTGCGTGCACGCATGTGTGTGCGTATATACATATATATATATGTATAATTATATTTACCTATGTATATACATATATACACATATTATATACATATACACATATCATAATATAATATGGTATATATATATATACATGCACACACATAAACTTATGGATATATACATACTATAGGTCCTTCTTGAGGGAAGGACAAAGGAGACCTTAGTGTAGGGTACCCTTTACAAGGCACCGAAATAAATATGTATTCGGTTTTAGGATAGTAGTGACGTAGGTTAGGATTTTGGAGAGTGTGTGATTATTGGGTACTTGGACCCTAGGGGAAAGGATCCTATGTACTGTTATGGGGAATACTTCCCTACGTCATAGTAGTAATTCCCTAACCCTAAACCCTAAACCCTAATATGGTAACCCTACATCCTACGAAATCGATACATAGGACCCTTTGATGGGGATCTGGTGCCTAGGGTTTAGGATTTAGGGTTTGGGGGGGGTGGGGGGTTCGGGCTGAGGGCTTCGGATTTCGGGTGTAGGGTTTAGGGTGTAGGCTGTATATAAATAAATATATATATATATATATACATACACATATATTAGGGATTTAATCGGGGCCTTAATAGGTACGTATAAATTTCGGTGGTTCCGTATTATCATGATAGAAAAATTTGCCCCAAAACCCTATTCTTATTACTAAAGCCCCATTATGAGGGTTTTAGGCGGAAAATTCAGGGTTCTGGCTGCTTTTGGGCTTTGGGCGTAACTTCAGAGCTTGCTCGAAGGATCAGGGCGATTAACAAGTAGGTAATATGAGGGCCTTCTTAATAATTAGAATAGGGTTTTGGGGCCAATGAGACTACATTTATAATAAGCAACCACGAAGTAGTATAGATCATTGTTTAGGCCCCTATATCACTCAGGTTACAAGCAGACCTTTCGAATAAGCTGCCGCCAGAGTCCTGTCAACGCCAATGACACCCTACTTACCAAGTCCCGTGATGCTTCCCGTGTGGCTGGTGCTAGTCTCACTGGCTCGAAACCCCAAGGACATACAAGTTGAAACTTTCAGAATCGACTACCTTATAAGAGCCCCCAAACCCTAAACCCTAAACCCCTGAACCCGCAACACCAAAAGTTGACAAGTTGAGTTTACAGCCAATAAGTAGTGGCTTAGGAGTCTAGACAACCCCAAGCCGGAGAGCTGCGAGGCATCAGGTTCTCATAGGGCGCCAAATAAGCACATAAGCAAAAATGAGGATCTAGGATACCCAGTAACCTAAGAATAAAAAGGCCTCTCTTTTTGGTATTGGGTAACTTTATAAGGAACCTAGGACTACAAAAAGGGAATAAGGGTACTGCTGGGCATCCTAGGGATAGGGATATCCCATATAAACCTCCTAAATAGGGATGTCCCCATAAAATTCCTGTGCTTATGTGCCTTTTGGGTCCCCAATCTCAGTTTAACTTGGGGCCCGGGGCTGAGTACCCTAGCCCAAACATGGTAGAATTATATCAACCCCAAAAGGTTAAAGCGTTTAAAGATACCTGCCCAAAGGCTCCATGTACCTGTATAGTAGATATGTAAGCCTTAAAAGGGGTCCGTATATGGATACTTGATGGCCTAAATAGATACTATATGGGTCCATGGAGCCTTGGGGTAAAGATGCTTACTCAGCTACTGAGTTCAAGCAGTTGAAAGCGGCCTTCAACGCTCATTCCCTGGCTCACAGTTGTCCAACACCATCATACAGCGGCATGCTCTTCGGGACCGACCCACTGGAAACGTGAAGCTCCAGAGCATTAGGGACAATGCTGATAATTTGGAAGAGGGCTGAGTTCAGAAGGAGTGCCAAGCTGAAAGAGAGGCGTCTTGGTTTCAATTGTTCAGGACCCAGTGGTTTTGGTAATGCAGACGCTTGGGGTTCACAACGGTTCGGAACACTGATGGATTCGCCCCTGCAAGTCTTGCTCTACTTAAAGGATCATGGGACTTGGGAAGTGGGGTCATCATTACTTGTAACCCCAATTCAGGTACTTATAACCCTATACTATACTTACTAAGTCCCATGATCCTCCAAGTACCTATAGTTTCGACGGACTTGCATGGCGTCGTAAATCCTACACAACCTCAGGTTTGGATTTGTGGGGCCTTCTGGCACGGGTGGTCTCCTAGACCCAAGCGTAACCTAGGAATGAAAAGGGTGCCCTTTGGAGTTTGAAGGTGCGGGACATATGACCCTTCAAAAACGCCCCATAATGGCCCGTGCCCAGAAAGCCTGTGGCCTCCCTGAGCCCCAACCCCTGAACCCCTAAACCCCTGAACCTCCAAACCCCTAGACCCCTAAACCTTAAACCTCCCCCTAAAACCCTAAACCCTAAACCCTAAACCCCTAAACCCTAAACCCTAAACCCTAAACCCTAAACCCCTAAAACCTTAAACCCTAAAGAACTCCAGGTTGAAGGTTGATTTAGCTTAACCACATTAAACCTTCCAAGCCTTAAGCCGAGGGACCCTTAAGAAGGACCCCTAGGTGTATACCCTTAAGGGCTTAGGGTTTAGGATTAGGGTTTAGGGTTTAGGGTTTAGGATAAGGACCCCTAGGTGTATACCCTTAATATAGCCATTATCTACCCATTATATAGCCCATGATAGGGTAGGGGTCCCCACTAAGGGTCCCTCCTTTTCCCCTTCGATCTAGGAAAGGCAGGCGGCAATAGCGCTCAAAGTTCAGAGCCCCGACCATAAGCAGGAATACAGCTCCTTGGCTGCTTGTGATGGGTCTAGAGTTGTTGTTTTTTGTTATGGGCTCCTTAACCCTAAACCCCTAAACCCTAAACCCTAAACCCACACTTAGAACTCCTATACTAGGAGGAGCCCGTGGAGTCTAGGCTTTAGGGTTCTTGGCTGCGTAATTACAGGTGCAATCATACCTGTACCTTAAGCCGGAATCACCTACCTTTTTAGGGTTCTTTACTATGATTTCCTTATATAAGTCCTTAGAAACGGTAGGTTCTTCCGGCTGAAGGTACTTCTTACATTGGTATATGCTCTTACTGCTTTTAACAACGTGCTAGACTGCACTTGAAAATGATCTGCACGCATTACCAAGACTCCGATAATCGCACAGTTGATGAAGATCTCAGCCAGCCTGGCTGTCTTGCTACCTAACGTTGAGGGTGCGGGGGCTTCGGGTAAACAACTCTACACCCCTCAACCCCGAAACAAAACCTAGTCGATTGTCATGCGCTGCCATCCGTATTTCCTGACAGGATGCTTCTAACCTCATGCCCAACTTCCTGCGCTTGCGCTAGGGTTGAGGGGTTAGGGGGATCTCGGAGTACAGGTTGCCCAGTGTCCCCTTAAAATGCGGGTACTCTCTTTTTGTTTACTGATGTTCAGGTTGAATGAGGGAACCCCAAAATCAAAAGGTCAACATGGTACTTACTACGAACCTACTTGGAGGATCATGGGACTTAGTAAGTAGGGCTATAAGTACCTTAATTGCGGTTATAAGTATTTATAACTGTAGTTACCTTACTTATAACCCCAATTACTAAGTCCCAAGATCCTGCAAGTAGACCCTAAGCCCTAAACCCTTATAGTACCCCTATAGATCCCTTAAAGGGGCCCCTTAAGAACCCAATTACTAAGTCCCATGATCCTTTAAGTAGGATGCAGTGCATCTCTGAGGGACCTTGTCTTGGCAACTTCAGCGAAACCCTCAAAGGGGAAAAGCAGGGCCCTTAATGGGGACCCCTAGCCTGTAATGGGCTATATAATGGGTATATAATAGCTACAGTAGAAGCTCAAAAGTTGGAAACCCAATAGCCTCAATCCTTAAGAGTCATGTATAGGGAATCCCAGCACTATTTGGCCTTAATCCGGTTTCCAACTTTATGGGGTTTACTGTATATTAAGGGTATATACCTAAGGGTTCTTATTCAGGGTCCCTCCTTTCCCTCTTTGAAACCCTAAGCCCTCAACCCTGAACCGTCTAATGGTTGAGGGTCGCCAAGGCAAGGAAGCTTAAACCCAAATCTCTAGGTTCTAAATTAGACTCTAAACCCGTCCTGGGAATCCAACAACCTACTAGTTTACGGGTTAAGCATTATGATTAAAGGGGCGTTAACCTGCTGTTTTGTAGGGTTCGGGGATACAGGTAAACCCTAAGCCCTAAATCCCTATAACTCACTGGCCCAAAACCCAAAGAACTAAAAGTTGAACCTTTCAGAGTCGACTACCTTATAGGAACCCCAAAAGTTGAAAAGTTGAGTGCGCAGCCAATAAGATTAACTCTAAACACTTCGGCCAGGTACTAGAAGGGTTCCTTTAAAGGGTTACTTTAAAGGTACTAGAAGGGTTCCTTTACAGGGCTCTATAAGGTTTGCCGACAAGCCTGGGGCTGCACCTACCTGAACTCTCAACGGCTCCATGCACAGAGACCCAAGAGTAACCTAGGCATAAGAACCTTTAAGAATTCTATATGGGGTTTAGGGTACAGAGACCCAAGAGTAACCTAGAAATAACCCTTGAAGGGATTGGGTTTAGGGTTTAGGGGTTTTGGGGGGTTAGGGTTTAGGGGTTTAGGGTTTTAAAGCCTAGACCCAAGAATAATCTAGGAGTAAAAAGGGTGCCCTATAAGGTAACCTGAACCCGAAAGAAAGGGGAACAAGGGCCCACTCTAGGTCCCAGTGTGGGTGCCGTACAATTTCAGTGGCCTTAACACGGATTCTTAATGTGGGGAACTACCCATATACTTAGGCCATGCAGGGGTTCTCTGCAAGCACTGCAAGGCTTAAGTATATACTATAGAGTCTACAGAGGTGCATGGAGCCTTTGGGATAGCAGGTTTATAACCATGTAGTATGTAACCCAGTAGCCCATGATTAAGGTAAGTCGAGAACAGGCGAAGCTTGGTATACGGATTTGGGTGGTGTCATAATCAGGGGTTAGCGCTTGAGGATTCAACTAATACGGAAGTCGGAATAGCTACTAATGGTATCCTCTGATAATACAGTCTCTGTATAAGTCTACCACAATAGGGTCGCTATACCATAAATCCTGCTAAACCTTACAGCACTCTTGTAAAACCCCAAAGAAAGCCACATTATTCTTATGAAGGCTCTCACATTATTGCAAAGGGTCCAAGACACGGAGCAAGGTCATGACAGAATGGGTTTCAAAATAAGTTTTAGGATATCAAAATTGGGTTCAGATACCCTGCTGTCGGTCTGCGGTCTACTGAAGCTGGTCAGTCACATGTCCATTCCCCCTTTCCTCGGCTGCCTTGCCACACCCTCAGCACTAAACCCGAAACCCGACCTGCGCCTCAACCCTAAACTCTGCACCATAAACCCATAACGGTCCTAAACCCTTAAACCTTTTAGAAGCCCTAAACCCTAATTAAGGCCGACGGCTTTACCGGACCTAAACGAGGGGATGCGAAACCTGCTGCCACATCGGCTCGGCACAATCTCTGCAAGCCTGGCGGGGGTTCGGGACCCAGAAACTCCAAGCTCCGGTAACTAAGGGCTTTTGGGTTTAATTAGGGCTTAAGTCTTTTGGTTTAGGGTTTAGGGTTAGGGTTTAGGGCTTAAGGTTTTTGAGGGTTTGGAACCGTAAAGGGTTGATGGTTCAACTCCGCACTCCCGTAACTAAGGGCTCTATCGACTGTTATGGAGATGCGCGCACATTTTCGGGTGGTGTAAAGTGTAATATATATATATATATATATATATATATATATATATATATATATATTATATATATATACATATATATATATAAGTATATATAAGTATGTAAGGTATAGACTTCAAGTATTTGAGAGGCTACTAAAATGAGTTAAACCAGTCAGAAGGTATAAACTTCAAAGAAAGGGCTTCTAGCTGGAGTAGCTGGAGGAGGGGGGAGGGGAGTGCAGTGGGATTCGGTTGTCGGCTTTAGGGTAGCGCGAAGGGATCTGAGCTTTAATTGAGTATCATCTACGTTGCACATTTTATCTGAGTATTGGGTACTGATACTGGCACCATCAGGGCATGGTGTTGGCCCGTGAGATCTGGGAATAGGGTTGTGGTGCCCATTACTGTTTAATTAAGTATAATCAGGAACCCCAGAAATCATGTAGGTAGTGATTAAGGCCCCTATATTATGGCAAGACCCCTTGGCCCGAAAGTCCAAGACCTCACACCCCTAAACCCTTACAGAACAGGGTTTAGGGTTTAGTGGTTTAGGGTTTAGGGTTTACGGATGGGGCGTAGGGTTCAAGTTGTTGAGGTGTTGGGTGGTGTTTGTTTAGACCATAGCGCGGGTCCATTGTCATAGCAGGTGTTTTAGACTACTTAAGCCGTACTCCAGGACCTGAAAGCCTTCTGGGCGCAAGACCACTCTCTGCAAGGCTTCTGGCCTACTAGAGGCTTCAGGGTTAGGGTGCTGCTGTCGTTGAGTTGAACCCTTTGACGGTGGTCTCGCCTGCGCTAACCCTCAAACCTTGAACAGTAACGTGCTAGACCAGAAACGCAACTAATAAACCTTTAACGGAACCCTAAACCCCAATCCTTAACGCTAAACCCTAGACTCCAAAATCCCGACACCCCAGATTTTCATACGATTCCTTATATATGTATATATATATATATGTATATACATACAGTTAGAGAGAGAGACAGAGAGAGATTCGTACTATACTGATATGATACCAGTATATACCCCCAAACCCCCGTTCTAAATATTACCCTATCCCTCCGACCTCATAGTCAGGGCCCTAGACCCCCTAAGGACCCCGCAATAAGGTCCCTGGAGGCATAAAGTAAGGCCTGACAGCCACGAAGAAGAGCGTGGGGAACACGCCGCAGGACCAGCCAAGGCCGCGAACTAATTCTCTGAGAACTGCGTAGAAACTCCTGCGGCCATCTCAAGTTCCCAAAGCCATGCGTACCCAAACCAGAAGAGTACCTCCTACTATAGAAACCCCAAGGGTCCGAAGGACCCAGTAATTCGGTACTCGGTTTTAGGATAATATTTATGTAGGTTAGTATTTTGGAGAGTATATGATTATTGGGTACTTGGACCCTCGGGGAAACCCTACTTTCAAACATGTACCCAGAGAGCCCAATACCCCTTAATAAAAAAGGAATAAACCTCAAAACCATGAGTGGCTTCATACTATGATTTAAGCTATATTCCTTGATTCAGGGGTATTGGCCTCGCTAGGTAAGTACTTGGGACCCTGTGGATCCCGTTGGGACCGAGGACTTTGTTTTAATTGGCGTTTAGCGCTTAGCAGTTTAGGGTTTGGGGGGCTGTTTATAGGGTTTGGGGGGTTTGGGATTTAGGGGTTTAGGAAGTTTAGGGTTTAGGGATGTTAGGGCTTAAGGTAAGAGGGCAGACCGAGGACGAAACTGTCAGGACAATAAAGCCTCTTGGATGGACCAGCGGGTCAGCGATGCTGGATTGATTTCAGAAGGCTTCACACCAAATAACAAAACATGAGTGCGACAATCACTTACACTGTCTCGCTGCGGTTGCGAAAGCAGAAGCACGCACCTTTCTTTCGTGGGAATGAGTTGGTTACAGCCGGCTTATTTCTGGCCCTGCGCTGCAGGTAATTAAGCGCTCATTGTCATGGGCCGGCGGCAGCTGCGTCCTCCGACTGCAAAATACCTCGGCTCGACCGCTTCTGCTTGGGTTCGGATTCGTCGTCGGTCGGGGGGAGGTTCGGCTGCGCTGCGTTCTCGATGCCTACAGAAAATGTATCCGGATCGGACCCGCGCGGGTCGGGCGGCACCCACACCAGCGTCATGGATTTGCGCAGCTTTCCAGCTTCAGTGAAGCGGGCTGAGTGGATGCAACTCCCTGCGACTCGAGCAAGATGTTATGAGCCTGTTTGGGTGCACGGTGCACGGCCGACCATCTTCTGGTCCGGGTGGACCAACACCGCTGTGGCATCTTCGGTCTGCACCGGAAGGTACTCGTAGACCCGGTCGTGCCAGAAGAGCTGACGACAGGACAATTGTGCGACGCGTGTCGAAGCACCCGTGCACAAAGCGGCCTCGTAGCGGTGTACTTGCCCGGACAGCGTCCGGAGGCAGACGCGTCGCAGCCTGGCGGCTTCGAAGGTTAACGGTCTTATAGGACCACAGCACACTGAGTCTGAGGTGCCCATAGTCCGGTCACATGTTCTCGCGGACGACGCTGCTGCGCCTTCTTCAGATACGAAGCACCTGCGAAGACAGAGCTTATGTACGGGAGGATCAACGCTTCTGCGATAGAAAATTCAGAGGTCCGAGCGAACCATGGCGGCTTGGTACCTGAACATTGACGAGAATCTTAATCAGGCTAAACAAAATGCTGCATCGGCCCGCCTTGCAGACGTGCACCACAACACAAGAGCTAAGCAGCTGTCGTCTCGAGCCGATGTTCAGCGACACGTGCGGTGGCGGAAACATGTTGAGCTGCTTGAGCGTAATAGTCCAGTGCCATTTTTTGCAGATCGCTTTCGGCGTTCAAAGCCGCGCACTCACTGCTGCGGCCGCCTGGTCAGGTAATCATTATTCCATAAGCGAAACCCAGACAGGATATCGAGGACGAGAAAGACAGACAAAGAAGGAGAAGAAGAAACAAAAAGATCACCTGTTTCGCCGGCCGTAGCGCTCCAAGTCAAGCTCTCGGTACTCCTGGATCCAGTATAGCTGACCTGGCAAAGCGAACGTGCCCGCAGCGACTCCGAAAAGTTACTTCCGTGACTCCTGAGGCGGCGGAGGAAGAGCTTGCGGAGAAAAGGGTCGGAGGTTTCCGCGAGGCCCTGGCGAGTGCAGTGAAGCTGGTTCCTGAGCACGAGCCCTGCCTTTCGATTGACCTCTACCATGTCCGTGCCGTGTTCCGAGTGGTCCCGGATCAAAGCGGCATACCGACGACGGACCTGACGAGAGGAACCTATGGCAATACATCAGCAGCCACCGTAACGTCTGTCCAATCATCTGGACGTCGATTGAGAGCCATGACCTGCAGAAGCACAAAGGGCCACAACGAAGGACAGAAATGCTTCAAACGGCCTCAGCCTGCTAGCGGCTTGCTACCGGCAGCTACGGTCTGCTTCTTGGTGCTGCAGCACTGACAGTCCGGATCTGGATAGCATGCGTCTTAGCAAGTGTGTGCTGCTGCTACTATTGCTACTGCTGCCTCCACTACTACTACTACGACGACTACTACTAGTACTATACTTACTACTATAACGGTTAGTATCATTGGTTGAACAAAACCAGACAGTTTTTTTGTTCATCTCTTTCTTACCTGTGCTTGCTTCCATTATTTCATCAACTTACTTAAAGCATTTAAAACATTGTTGTTAGATTGCAAAACCCGAAATAGGTCGCAGCGCCTGAGGAAAGCGACAAACCAAGCAAAAACAGTTGACACGCTTGGGTTTTGCATGAAAATGTCTAGCTTTGCGCTTTTTCCTAACAAAATCGTCGAAAATCGTAAAATTTGCGGTTTGGGCTGATGCCAAGAGTTGAAGGGAAAACGACGAACCGCCGAAATCGATGGAACAAAAACATAGACTTTTGCCTATAAAAACTTACGCATGCAAATTCAAGGCCCCGAGAGGGGGGGGGCCCAAAATCACCCCAGCAGCAGATTCTGACTGACGGCAGCCAGTTCTGACTAACGGCAGCCAGTTCTGACTGACGGCTACTTTGGGGGTTAATAAAGCCAGAATAAGGGCTTAATAAGGCCTTAATAAGCCTCTACTAAGCCCTTATTAAGGCTATAATAAGGCCCCCTTGAAAAATAGCCCGCCCTACCAGGTCCGCGTTAAAGAATCGGGGCTCTACATAAATGCAGAGGCCTGGAACTCAGAGTGGGTTACATGGTAGATGTGTAAGGACTTGGGGAATACACTTGATGGTTGAGAAACGCATCAGGTCAAAACCCAGTTTCGATCATCGAAGCTCCTGTGTTTAGCCTACAGCTTTTCATATGTGTAACTCAGATCGGGAGCAAAATCAGGAGAACCATTTTTTTGGATCCTCCCGGGGGTCAGCATAAAAAAGCGGCTCAGGACTCAAAGTAGCATCCTACTAGGCTGCCCGACCCGAAGAGTCCTAACGGTTGATGCTATAAATAAATCCTGCATGACCTTAAGGCCCCTAAACTATGGGAATTATGGTAGATTCCTTATTATGAGTAATGCAGGATTTATACCATCAACCGGATTACCTCCTACAGTCAACCCAATAAGGTCGCGATGATTAGGGTTTAGGGGTGTTAGGGTTTATAGGGTTTAGTACAGGGTCTAGGGGTTTGGTGGTTTAAGGGGGTTTAAGGGTTTACACTAAACCCCATAAAGTTGGAAACCGGATGAAGGCAAAAAAGTGCTTGGATTCCCTATACATTACTTTCTTAAGGATTGATGCTATTGGGTTTCCAACTTTTGCGCTTCTACCATATATGGGGGATGCTTACCCAAGCCAGAACCATAAATTCTCACTATACAAACACCACTGTGAACTATGTGAATACTGAGGACCCATTGGGGAACACCGCAAGCCGCAAACTCTTCCCCCCCAGCCAAAAACTCAATAATATCATAAACCCTAAGGGTTCATGTAGTCACATAGCATCTACATTGGCCTTAATGTATATGCTATATGGGTACATTGGGCCCAAAATGGCCTTGATGTATATGCTATATGGGTACATGGACCCTCAGGGAGACCCAGCCGACACATCCGGTCGCATGGACTGACTGAAGCCTGACGTTATGTCAGATCACTGAAAACCGATGTTACCGTCAGCGGTCATTCAGGTTCCCAGAGACTCCAATATCCCTGAATTAAGGAATATTCCTTAAATCATATTAGGGATCCTACTATAATTTAAGGTATATTCCTTAATTAAGGGATATTGGAGTCTCTGGGTTCACATGTATGGCATTTTGGTTGAGGGTTAAAAGGGTTTAGGTTTCAGGGAAGGTTCAGAACTTGCAAAACATCTCACAGTTGTCGACGGCGCCTGCTTCTTTCCGCAAGGTCTGGGTGGTAGTAGGCAACAGTCGCCGCTTGGTCCAGAAAGTGCCAAAGCACAGGCATCGCGGATGCCGCACATTGCCGATAGGTAAAGACCTCTCTCGTCAACCTGAGCAATTACTAGGTGGGGCTTTGAAAGCCTTTGAAAAATATTAGTAAATAAGATCCTCTTAAGCCCAATAGGGCAAAATATAAAATGTCCCAAAGCCCTACCTAGATTAGCTTACTGTGGCTTTGGGGTCTTCGGGCTCGAGGACAGAGGCTAACAAATCCATCAAGAAGAGCCTCCCGAAACACGAAAGCCCACACCCCAGCCCTGTACCCCGAAGGCAACAAAACCCAAAATGCGTGGGTCTAAACCTTCAAGAGCCGCAGGATTTTTGGGTTAAGGGATTAGGTCTCAGGCTGCCCGAAACCCTCCCTAAACACTATACCTTAAACCCTCCCTAAAGCCTGAACCCAGTCTGAGATTGAGGGTTTAAGTTTAGGCTTTAGGACTCCCGACAAGGTGCCCTAAAAAGGTTCTCCTGACTGATATGTTAGTATAGGGGCCTGGCTCTGCGGTATGTTATACTACTGTAATAAGGAACCCCCAAACTAAGTAACTAGCATAGGTAACTAGTTAGGCCCGTATGGTAGGGACCTCCGTGTAAGGTTTTGGGGGCTAGCTTTGGTTTAGGGCTTCTGGGGCTTCGGGCTACTTTGTCGCAGGGTTAGCGAACGGCCGAGGTGCTGTTCATCCAAACATCTCGCAACCTGCTGGCATATGGGCTCTTAAGCGGGTTGAGTTTACCCCAAGGCCCTAAGGGTCCATGTACCCAAATAGGGCTCCTTTACGGGCACCATAACAGGTCTATAAGGCTACCAGAAGGGCTTGAGGTTTAAGGGTCCATGTACCCAAATAGTATTTACTTTGGGCGCAATGTACCCATATATGGAGTACTTTAAGGCCAAAGTATATCCTATTTGGGTACTTGGACCCATTAGGGTTAGGATTCCGGGCTATGGCGCAGGACTTGTAGCTCAGGTGAAGTCCTGTGAGCAGAATTGAGAGTTTTGGCTTTGTGTTCGTCGTGTTACGGTGTGTGCTGTGTCTTATTTGGGCCCTGGAGCCCTGGTTTGAAGGATTTTTGGCATGTTGCACAGATCATTGTTCCGACTTCCCAAACACCACAAGTTTAGGGTTTAGGGTTTGCCTGAATTCAGTGTCGTTCCTCAAGGGTAGCTGCCATAACGTTCGGAGTAGTCCAGGCTAAAGGATGCCTGAAGGTGCAAGTGCCCAAGGAGTGAGTTTTAGGCACCAACATCCACGGAGCTTAGGGAATGTAGGACATAAACCTCTACAATTCTACAATTTGGGCACTTTTACCGTAGGGGTTTGGATTAGGGCCCTAAACCCCTCAACACTGAAACGTATCATTTGGAGAACACGAGGTTCAGCTGGGTCTTACTGTTTCCAAGGAGCTCTCCCGACACACTACTAGAATCCTAAGCACGGGGTTTCGGGCTGCCTGCATGGTGTCGAGTCCTTCTCATGGCTTCCCCCGTTTATGTCGGTAAACGGGTAGATTGTGGCTATGTGCAAGCCCTGAACACCCCTAAACCCTAAACCCTAAACCCCTAAACCCTAAACCCTAAACCCCCAACCCTCTAAACCCAAATCATTACGGGTATGACTGGAGATCCACTATCCCGCAGGAGGGGCCTCAGTAACTAGGCGAACTGGGGACCCAGAGACTCCAATATCCCGTAATTAAGGTGTACCTGTAGTCGGAAAGACCTACCTTTTTACTGTTACTTATTATGGTTTCTATATATAGTTCCTTAAAAAGGTAGGTCTTTTCGGCTACAGGTATACCTTGCATCATATTAGGGATCCTACTATAATCTAAGGTATATTCCTTAATTAAGTGATATTGGAGTCTCTGGGGAGCCACCTTGCGCATCTGTCTACGCTGAGTAGGCCTTACCCTGTTAGCAATTCTTGAAGCATCTTTACCCCTGAGGGTCCAAGTACGCAATAATCATATACTTTAGAAGCTGCCCCCACCCTGTAATAGTCACTGTAAGGATTATATTAGGGCCCTATTTTATTCCTATTATACCGCTATTACAGGGTGGGGGCCCCTTCTATGATATACTCTCCAAAATAGTAACCTACATAATGTAGGAACCTGATCAAGAAACCCTGGGCCTACAACCCCAAAATAGTAGGATTCATAAAAGGAGCCCTAATAAAGGCCCAAGGTTTCGTAATCCGGTTCCTACATTAACTACTATCCCTAAACCCCAGTACCTATATACTGGGAACTTTGGGCCCTTAGGGTACTATACATGGAGGAGCATGGGACTGAGTAATTGGGGTTATAAGTACGGTAACTACAGCTATAATACATATAACCTTTTGACTAAGGTACTGATAACCCTACTTACTAAGTCCCATGATCCTCCAAGTACTATGGAAGCCTTACCCAAAGGCTCCATGTACCTATATAGTAGATACTTAAGCCTTAAAGGGGTCCCTATATGGGTACCCTTTGGCCTAAGTATATATTATTGGGGTACATGGAGCCCTAGAGTTAAGGGCTTACCAGAACCCTTGAAGGAATCCTGAGTCTCAAGGCGTAAAAGCCTTACAGGAACCCCAAGGGTCCAAAGTACCCAATAAAGGGGTCCGTAAGAGGTACTATAAGGGCCATTTTCAGGATTGAATATAGGGGACCTTTTTGAAGATAGGACCCGAAGTTAAGGGTCCAAAGTACCCAATAACTAGGTACTCGGTTTTAGGATAGTAGTTATGTAGGTTAGGATTTTGGAGAGTATATGCTTATTAGATACTTGCTCCCTTGGGGGAAGGCTCTTGGAAACCTCGGGGGCTCTGAACCCTAAACCCTAAACCCCCTACAGTAAACCCCATAAAGTTGGAAGCCCCATAGCCTCAGTTCTTAAGAGTAATGTATAGGGAATCCCAGCAGTATTTGGCCTTCATCCGGTTTCCAACTTTCTGGAGTTTACTGCAAACCTCTAAACCCCCTAAAAAAACGCCAAACCCCTAGACCCTTTACTAAACCCTATACTATACAGCCTAACACCTCATCATCGCGACCAACCCTAAACCCTAAACCCAAAACCCAAAACCCTAAAGCCTAAACCCTAAACCCTTAAACCGTTGGGGACTGTGAACCTGCTCCCTGACTTGGGTGTCGAAGTTGCTGAGACTGCCAAACCTGTGACGCACGGAGGATGCTGGAGTTCCTGGCTTTAGGATTTGGGAGTTTAGCTTATTACGCAAGAATAGGAGATCCTAGGGTTCCTTTAAAGGGTTCCTTAAAGGGATCTAAACAGGTTCTATATAGGGTTTAGGGTTTAGGGTTTAAGGAGTTTCCGAAAATGGGGGCGGTACTTTATTTGGGGGGTCCTCATAATGAGGATCCTGCTATATCTGGGTCCCCTATTTTCGGAAACCCCCAATTTGGAGTCTAGCGCTATAAGGCTCACGGGCTTGTAGGGTGACATAGAGGGTTTCATAGCCGGGTTTAGGATTGAGAGCGTTAAGGTTTCAGCGTTTAGTAACCGCGGTTTAGAGGTGTAGATTTAAGGTTCTTAGAGGGGTTTAGGGTTTAGGATTCTTGGCTGACTTCTGAACCCCTCCTAAAAAAACAACTTTTAGCCTCCTTATTATGGTTCATATAGAAACACTTTAAAAGTTAAAGTCTAAAGAGCCAACCAGAAGAACGCCAAGGATTGTTGTGTTGCAAGTTGCCAAAGCTTTCAACCCTCAACTCTGAAGCCCTCCAATTCTAAACCTTCTTTCAAGCCTAAACGGTAGCTGTCAGTTCAAGAAAAGGCTGAATTCCTTAAAGCCTAAACGGTAGCTGTCAGTTCAAAAAAAAGGCTGCAACCTCCTTCTACAGAGCAAAGCCTTGCAATCAGAGTGTGCAGTTCCGGGCTTAGCATCTCCAGCACGTCAAAGGCAAAAAGGGCAGATCATATAGCGGCCTTAATGATCAGAATAGGTTAGAAGCTGCCCCCACCCTGTAATAGCGACTAGAAGGGTTATTTTAGGGCCCTATTATATTCCTATTATACCACTATTACAGGGTGGGGGGCCCCTTCTAAAGAATAGGGTTTTGGGGCCCACTATACGATCATTATTATAATAAGGACCCCGCCCCCAAAAAAAAGTATAGGTAATTATTAAGGTTCCTATAGTAGGCCAACAGGCTGCCAGCAGCCACCGAGCACACAGCAAGGCGGAAGAAGATTTGAGTGCGAGACGACTGCATCTACTGGGAGGATCTGGGACGGAGGTCCATGGCCATGGGACTTAATGACGAAGCCTATAAGAAAGGGAAAGTATCTACAATTCTGCATCCTCAACGTCACTGATAAGCCCAGTTAGCGCCTTTACAACCTTACTTACCAAGTCCCATGATCCTCCAGGTTGTTGTACAGTCAAAGGCAAAACTGCCGAGCTCAAACCCAATCAGACTGATAGCTGAACCTCATATGTCAATGTAGCTACAACCACAATTGATAAACAAAAAAAACAGGGACAGGGTCCCTGAATAAGGGTCAAACTATGACCCCCTTCTATCATCCTAGTCCCTTGCGCTAGAATGACTGTAGTATCTTACTACTTGGTTCCCTCTGCTCTTCCGTAGTGCTGCTTATTTAATATAAAGGCCTTAATAACTACCTATGCTATTTTCGGAGTTTCTTATAAGATTATCGAATAGTGGGCTCCAAAACTCTATGCTCATTATCAAGGCCTCTATAGTAGGCCTGAGGGCTTTGCCCGGCTTGAGTGCTCCCCCTTGTCACTCGCCCCCACGGCTTGCCGTGAGAGTGAGTGACCCAAAGGCTCCATGTACTTATACAGCATATACTTAGACCTTATAAAGGGATTGAGTGCGTGAGTGAGTAAGAGTACGGGAACACCTCGCCGGCAATAGCAACAAATTTGCCCCGCCGCGGTTTTTCAGACCTATGCAGTTCACCAGAAGAACGGCTGGTGCACTGCATCAGGTCCACAAAGCTTGGCGGTGCAACAGCAAATACACACAACTCGATTTTTGTTGACGCCTGGCGGCAACAAACAATGACTGGCGTGCTGCATCGAGTCAATAGTTACCCTAAGGCTCAAAACAGCCCAAAAGCCTTAGACAGAATGGTCTTTGGGCCCAAACGCCTTAAAATATGAGTCCTTAGAGCCTAAGGGTTAAACAAATTAACGGCGGGGCGACAATTCAAACAAAACACCACTTCCGAGTCGTCGGATCCCTATGGGCCCATGTGCCCAAAAGCACTGGACCCAAGAGTAGCCTACCCTAGGCTTCCAGGGACCTTATTATTGGGTCCAAAAGGGGTCTAGGGCCCTAACTACAAGGTCCTTGGAAGCATAGGGCTAGGAATAAAAAGGGTGCCCTTTTTGGTTTAAAGGGACGTATAACCCTACAACAAGGGAATAATGGCCTACTCTAGGTCCTAGAGTATATACTGTGGGCTTAATGTAGTCCCTATACTTAAAGGCTCATGGGACTTAGTAAGTAAGGTTATAAGTAGGTTATAATTAGGATAACCCCACTTAGGGGACTTATAACCCCAATTATAACCTACTTACTAAGTCCCATGATCCTTTAAGTAAGGGTACATAAACCCTTAGGGTATGGAAGAAGACTGTGCGGACCTTCTGTGATCGAATTTATAAACCCTGAACCTAAGGCCCGAAGTCTTTGTGCTTCAAGGATTGCCCTAAATCCTAAACCCTAAACCCTAAAGCCTAAGCCCAAAACCCTACACCCTTAACCCTAAGCCCTAAACCCTAAACCCTAAGCCCTAAACCCTAAACCCTAAGCCCTAAACCCTAAACCCTGGCTCTGGAATCAACGCCGCTAAGAAGCCCAGGCACCCATAGGGTCAGAGGTACGCAGGGTTTCGGGTCCAGGGGTTTAGGGTTTAGGGAGAGATTCCCCTAATTTTAAAAGTGATGCCAAATTAATAACAAAGAAACCCTACATTCTCCTAATCTGCTAAATTGGTACTTAGGACACTTTCGGGAAGAGACCTTGAAGGCAAGTGCGGATCCCTTCATTCTCTAGCTAGTTGAAGGCTTTTTTGGCTTTCTAAGAACGTGCGGCCGCATGGATGATAGAAAGAAAGGCTCTAATTGCAGCAACCTGTTACAGCAAACTGAGCCCTATACAATCTCAATTTGTGCAACCGCAGTATAGCGACCGAGAAGCCACGTTGTGATGCACTGAAAAACGATCTGCCGATCGCAGGCCATCTCCGAACCGTTAGGCGCTTTGTGGTCAATGCTGCAGCACCAGCATAAGGTGTCCTTGACAGCCCGAAATGCCCTAAATCCTAAAGTCTGAAACCTTAACCCTAAATCCTGAATTCTAAACCACCAGCATAAGAAGTCCTTGACAACCCATTTAGGGTTCTCGGACTTAGTCAGGGTAGAGTTTAGGGTTTAGGGCCGAGTTCTAGGATTGTGTCAGCACAAGGTGTCCTTGACAATTCTGGCTTCCAGCTTTGAAGGTTGAACACCAAGTAGGGGGCCTTGATAATTGGAACAGGGTTCGGGGCTCCTGTATAGTACAACTATGATGAGGAACCCTCAAGCATATCACAGCAAACTCTCGGGCTTCATTTGTTTAGGCTGCTATATTACGTGGTGTCTGGAAGTCCTGAAACCGTTGTGGGATAGTGTTCGTGGGAGCAGGTAGTGTGTGAAGGTAACGGTAGCACCAGCAAAACAAGTTTCTGTATGTTCATGGGTCGAGTTCAGGACCCGCAAAAATGGCGTCCTCGGTTTGATTACGAGATATAGGATAGCAAACGGGCTTAGGGAGTTAGGCTTGGGCGTCAGGGAAGCCATGTCATCGAGATTTTGAATGCATCTGGGCAAGCCTCAACAAATCATGTCCGGTCCTTGACGGTGAACTGGTGCCGCATTGTCTCGAGCTCGCGCAGGGACCGGAAGTAAGCACGAAACGTCACGATGCTGAAGTAAAAGAAAACGAAGGCAAATGCTCCGAACCTTCGTAAGTAGCTGCAGTCTGGAGAACTTACTGCTGATGGACAAAATCCTGCACTACTCATTATAAGGAATATACCATAGTTCCCATAGTTTAGAGTCCTTAGGGTCATGCAGAATTTTGACCATCAACAGTATGTGTGCTATGATGTCGTTTATGAAGTCATTGAGAAGGACGGCTTTTGTGAAAGCAGAAAGCCGAAGTCACTATTCAGGGCTTTCAAGGTTGATGCTATGGATCTATTGCGGTGTCCTCAGTCGGCCTGCTCAAAAAGTGGGTGGGCGGGCGGGTGTATGTGTGTGTGTGTGTGTATGTTTATAAACATATATACATATATGCGATTCGATACAGACTGAACCCAGTTGCAGTGCTCCAAACTTCGAACTTTTACCCTAACTTATACTGGCAAAATAGAACCAACACTAAAGCCCAAACTGCGAAAGTTCGGGCAGCGTCGGCCACAAGACGGACGCCGGAGCAATGCCAGACTGCTCCATGAAAGCCCATGGGATGACAGGCAGAAGCACGACAACACAAGAAAGTGCTATCGGCAATGAGACCAAGCACCTGGGCGGAAGACATGGGTGCTTTAGGGTTTAAGGTTTAGGGTTATGGGTTCTGAAAACTCGCGAATTCACATGCCAAACCTTTCAGCAACAGTAGGTTTATCTTCTCCGCATAGAGACGCTGATCAATCTATCCACGCCACGGACCCAGGATTGTCGGACGGATCACGAGATTGGGCTGCCTTGTGGTACCGCGGCTATGCAGATAGCCTGCCAGTTCAAAGACACACCTCGGAAGCTGGAAAAGGGTCACAACATCTGCTGTTCTTCGGTATCAAATAAGTGTGCGTTTCCAAGAAAGTCAACACCAGTGCTATAAACTCGTAAGCATGTGATTCTGCACTGTGTCGCTTCTGTCACTATCCTCCCCTTGAGCTTTTGTTGCAAGCTAGGTTGATGAGTACACACCTGCGTTTTGTGTTTCCAAAACTGGCGTTTGTCATCTTTGCTCTATGGGCCATTTCATGGTTTAGGGTAATCCAGGGACTTTATAAATTCGAGCAAGGTTTTGGGGCGCATTATACTATATTGACATTAAGTAACGCCCCCCCACCCGTGTGATGGACACTTGCAGGCTATTTGACATGCCCTTGCTTGCAACAGTGTAAAACATTTGCACGAAAGACACGTCAAATAGACGCTGAAATTTTCACCGGCCGAGCACATCCTGTGCCAAAGTCGAAGCACATGTCCCCGGGACAGGGCACTGACAGCGCTGAGCGCGCGGAGGGCGCTGAGGGCGCTGAGGGCGCTGAGGGCGCGGAGCGCGCTGAGGGCGCTGAGGGCGCTGCGGGCGGTGAGGGCGCGGAGGGATGCTGAGGGCGCGGAGGGCGCGGAGGGTGCGGAGGGCGCTGAGGGCGCTCAGGGCGCTCAGAGCGCTGAGGGCGCGGAGGGCGCTGAGGGCGTTGAGGGCGCTGAGGGCGCTGGGGGCGCGGAAGGCGCTGGGGGCGCTGAGGGCGCTGAGGGCGCGGAGGTGAGGGCGCGGAGGTGAGGGCGCGGAGGGCGGTGAGGGCGCGGAGGGCGCTGAGGGCGTGGAGGGCGCTGAGCGCGCGGAGGGCGCTGAGGGCGCTTATATAGGGGGCGCTGAGGGCGCTGAGGGCGCTGAGGGCGCGGAGGGCGCGGAGGGCGCTGAGGGCGCTGAGGCGCGCGCTGAGGGCGCTGAGGGCGCGGAGGGCGCTGAGCGCGCGCTGAGGGCGCGGAGGGCGCTGAGGGCGCTTATAGGGCGCTGAGGGCGCTGAGGGCGCTGAGGGCGCTGAGGGCGCTGAGGCGCGGGCGGAGGCGCTGAGGGCGCGGAGGGCGCTGAGGCGCTGAGGGCGCTGAGGGCGCGGAGGGCGCTGAGGGCGCGGGCGCTGGGGCGCTGAGGGCGCTGAGGGCGCGGAGGGCGCGGAGGGCGCTGAGGGCGCTGAAGGCGCGGAGGGCGCGGGGGCGCTGAGGGCGCGGAGGGCGCGCTGAGGGCGCTGAGGGCGCTGAGGGCGCTGCGGCGCTGATGAGGGCGCTGAGGGGCGCGAGGGCGCTGAGGGCCGCTGAGGGCGCGGAGCGCTGAGGGCGCTGAGGGCGCTGAGGGCTGCGCTGGAGGGCGCGGAGCGCGGCGGCTGAGGGCGGGCGCTGAGGGCGCTGAGGGCGCTGAGGGCGCTGAGGGCGCTGAGGGCGCTAGGCGCTGAGGGAGGGCGCTGAGGGCGCTGAGGGCGCTGAGGGCGCTGAGGGCGCGGAGGGCGCTGAGGGCGCTGAGGGCGCTGAGGGCGCGGAGAGCGCTGAGGGCGGAGCGCGCTGAGGGCGCTGAGGGCGCTGAGGGCGCTGAGGGATGCTGAGGGTGCGGAGGGCGCGCTGAGGGCGCGGAGGGCGCTGAGGGCGCTTACTGGGAAGAACCGGTGGCTTGTAAATGGTTAACATACTTAGCGAGGTTAGCTATCTATTTACAAACAAATGTAAAGGGTTAAGTTGGTTTAGCTAAAGGAGTTAGCATGGCTTAGAAGAAGGGGTTTTCGAGGAGCTATTAAAGGGGTCGGTATGAACCCTATAACCCTAAAGCCCTGAACCCATACCCTGGAAACCCTGGTCGCAAGAGCTTTTTTTTTCGCTGCTGCAAGCCGTGGAAGAGTCTTTGTCATTGAAAGCCGCAGCCTTTTGAAGAACATTCAGCCCTGATGCTGTTGCCAGGCCGTGGCCTTATATTCATCTTTTTTTCTGCATGCTGGCCATGGCCATATAGTCCTGGAAGAAAGCTCGCTTTCAGGCTTTAGCCGGAGTTTTCAGACTCATCTTCCTCTGCATGCTCCTCCTCTGCATGCTCCTCTTCTTCACCATGGTGGTCTCCTTCATACTCTGGAGAGGACTGCTCGGGCACGGTAGGGAGAGCATGCTCGTCCCCGGACTCCACGATATTCATATATTCGTACTCCCTCCATGCCCTTCTGTAGTTGCTGCGACGGACATCCCTCTCGTTGTACCACTTGATTGTGCATTTTGCACACCAGTGGTTCTGGTGTGCATTTTTCACTCTGCAGCAGCTGGGGGCACCGCATTCCGTGCATGGTCCTGCACACGGGTCCATCCTCAAACGGCGGCTGCAGGCTCCTCCCATTTCACAGGCCTTGGCCCACAGAAACTGCACGTGTGCAGGAGCTTATAAGGATGGCCGTGGCCGCGACGCACTCGCAGTCTACTTTTTCTATCACAGCACTTGAGCCACATGGCGACAGCAGGTCGCATATATATACTGTATGAAAAAGCACCATGTCATGCATGCCCTGCATGTATATATGTATATATACATATGCTACCCCCCCCCTCAGGTACCCAGGTTTTCGTCTTTGTGCTGATAGCACGAAGGAAGTCGGACAGAAAAGGCTGCAAGTGCACGCGCATGCTCGCGATAAGCCGACATATAGTAGTAGTAGTGAGCGAGTGTGACAAATTGCAGGGTATGGCGAAGCAGGCCGACTGAAACCCAGTAAGAGAAAGAGTTTTGCACGGCATAGAGGTGATACTGTAGCATCCCCAAGGCCATGCACGCAGATTTCGGATCAAGGTGGATAGTGGCTATGTTTAATTGGCTGTCTTTATGGTTTTTTACACACGCAACAATCTCTCACATGAATTGCTGTGTTCATTGGTTCATACAGCCATATATGGAATAAGCCGAAAGCAATGTCATATAGTGTCAGTATACTTGTCAAAGCCTTTAGTCTCCGCAGCACTGTACAATGATTCATGCGTGTCTGTCAAATTAGCAGTCAATAGCGACAAAAGTATGAAATCGTGTTTCACGACGGTGTGTGTAGGCTTCGCAATTGTTACTGCAAGTATAGTCTCCATTGCCTTAGGAATCCGATCTCCGTTTCTTTTCCCAGTCATGAAACTGCTACATGTTCTGTTCTTCTATATCGAGCTCAAAATGTCAACTGTGGTTTTAATATTACCTCTCACAGTGTTGTTATCACATCTTGTAAATTGCCATTATTCCTGCTACAGTGGTTATCATACTTCACCAATACCAGGCCATTTAGGACCATGTACCACCCGGCTTGTTTAATTTCTGCATCAAATGTTACTGTGTCAATTACTGTTCTGATTGTTCATTCAGACTGCTTCGTATATTGTTCGGGAACCTTGCTTAATAGTAGCCAAGCATTATAAAGTCAATGAAGTACCTGCTGAGTCCTGTGTTTTATACATTCTGCTAAGTTGAGTATAAACCTACCACAGAGCACCACGTGAATACGTACACTTGTGCTTCAAAGCACTTCTTGGTAGGATGATGGCTAACCAAGTCACACATTGGCTTGCTATTTACCTGCTGAGAGTGGGTTGTTAGTCTTCCAAATCAAACATGATCCAACACGCCGGGGCTGCGTGTTAAACGCTAGGTTGTATGTTGTAGTTAATTAGTTCGACTATAGTTTTTTCACGTCAGGTGACTTTGACATGTTTAATCCGAGTGCAGTTCATCAAAAGTGCATGCATCATACAGGTAATATCCATTTTATTGGTCGCAGAGTCGTTTTCGAAAGTTTGCACCTACCAAATGGTGACAAGTTGACAACGATGTATGTCAGAATTCTGGTGCACATGGTAGTCTTTTGGCTACGGGCTCTTTGTTTTTTTAAGCACCAGTGCCACACCAAACAAGAATACACAACCACAACGACCAAAGACCCCCATGCAAACACCAAGCAACATAAGTAGATACATTTATCTTAAGAAGTGGGTGATTAAGCCAGCTAAGCTTGGTCGTGCAGCAATAGCTTTCTTATAATAAATTTTTGAATCTTAGACATGGAGTACAGCCTTGTATGTGATAAACAGAAAACCCATGAACTGGTGTTCCCACAGTAGTGTCTTCAAGCGGAGACTATGAATTACCTAGCTTCGTGTTGGATACCTTACCGGCTTGTCTGCAAAACGCCTCGCACGAGTACGTAAGATCTGCTCAATCGCAACTTTCGGTAACAACGTATTGAAATATGTACTGTGGACAATGTTGGCAGCATGTTCAACCATTCCCATGGATCTGGAGAAACTTCGGGAGCCGGAGCCGCAGTTTCGGGAATAATGGAAGTTGTTGGTAAAACCAACACTTTCCATGATCCCCTTCAGAGAAATCATGGAAATTGTTGGTCGTACCAACGTTTCCAACAATTTCCATGAATTTGGAAAAACCTCGGGAGCCCGCGCCATAGTTTCGGGAATCATGGAAATTGTTGGAAATGTTGGTAAAACCAACAATTTCCATGATTCCCCTCAGGGAAATCATGGAAATTGTTGGTTTTACCAACATTTCCAACAATTTCCATGAATTTGGAAAAACCTCGGGAGCCCGCGCCATAGTTTCGGGAATCATGGAAATTGTTGGAAATGTTGGTAAAACCAACAATTTCCATGATTCCCCTCAGAGAAATGATGGAAATTGTTGGTTTTACCAACATTTCCAACAATTTCCATGAATTTGGAAAAACTTCGGGAGCCCGCGCCATAGTTTCGGGAATCATGGAAATTGTTGGAAATGTTGGTAAAACCAACAATTTCCATGATTCCCCTCAGAGAAATCATGGAAATTGTTGGTTTTACCAACATTTCCAACAATTTCCATGAATTTGGAAAAACCTCGGGAGCCTGCGCCATAGTTTCGGGAATCATGGAAATTGTTGGAAATGTTGGTAAAACCAACAATTTCCATGATTCCCCACAGACAGATCATGGAAATTGTTGGTTTTACCAACATTTCCAACAATTTCCATGAATTTTGGAAAAACTTCGGGAGCCCGCGCCATAGTTTCGGGAATCATGGAAATTGTTGGAAATGTTGGTAAAACCAACAATTTCCATGATTCCCCTCAGAGAAATGATGGAAATTGTTGGTTTTACCAACATTTCCAGCACGTTCCTTCGATTTGGAGAAAGCTCGGGAGCAACACTACAGTAGACGCTACACTTAGAAGCCCAGGGAGCCACAGTAAACAAAAACGTGCTTTCCCAGAGACGCAATGACCAAGGAACACAAACAAATATTAGGGACAAGGTGTCTGGCTTGAACAGGACACAACCTGGGTACCGGGGGGGGGGGGGTACCATACATATATATATATATACAAAAAAGCTTCGGCTTTTGTCCTCGCATCTGTCTCTCATGCGATCTTGAGTCGGGATGCAGCCATTAACTGCATGGAATTAAATGATCGTGATCTCTGCAGCATGCCGATTAAGTCGGTGATGCACATGCTCATGTGTGCACACACACATGAGCAGAAGCAAAAAGTTGGTTGGCATTGCATCGCTTTCGAGCCCTGCACAGCTGGCTTAGCAGCCGTTCTTCTTCTTCCACAGCAGAATGGCCTCTCTGTGGGCCTCTCGCTGGCACTCTACCACTTGCTGCTCCGAGAAGCCTTGGTGCTTTGCCCACGTTCCGGCTCGCTTGTACATGCGAGAAGCATAGTTCTTCTGGATGCAGCCGTCCTCCCAGACAATTTGGAACTTCCGCTTTCCATGCGAGCCTTGGGCTTGCTGCTCCTTTGCTTTGCCTTGGCCTTTCTTCGAAGCACTCTTGTCCTTGGACTTTCCTTTGCCTTTGCCGCTGCCCTTCTTCTTTGGATCTTGGCCTTGGCCATTCGTTTTTGTCTTGTTCTTTGCCAAGTTTCCTTGGCCACTCGCTGCAGCTGCAGCGGCCGGCTTCTTCAGAATCCCAGCTTTGCGATCTTTGAGCTTCTTGAACAAAGCTTCGTCCTCGAGATCGTTCTCGGCAGGGAGCGACTCCGTTGCTTCGGGTTCTTCGGCTGGAGGCAGGGCTAGCTGCAAGGCCGACTGTCGCCCTGGCGAGGTCTGCTGTGTCGCAGCCGAAACCGGCTGGGCTGGGTTGCCCAGAGCAAAGCCGACCCCCGCACTGCTGCTGCTCAGCTCGCCTCCTGTGATGGAGTTCCGTCCAGGGGTCCTGCAGCAGGTATACAAATGGAAAGGCATGCATGGGCTGTGTATATACAGATGCAAAACAAAGGAAAAGATAAAAGAAGCATGCAGTCCTCCTTTGCAAGATACTTGCGCCTGCAGCAAGCTGCAGCTCCCTTCGCCCACCATCCTGGATGGCATTCTGACCGCAGCCCTGGTCCAGCATTCTTTCCAGTCGCCCGAAGCACTGCTCCATGCGGCTCTGGAACTCGTTCGCATGCTGCTCAGACACGGCGGCCTGGCCATCTGGCCTCGGCAGCCTCTGCTTCTTGTTCTTCTGCAAGAGCTTGGAAGTAGATCGCATCGGAATGTGAGCTAGCCAGATCCCAGCCCTCACGTCTTTGCCCATGGGCGGGTCCTCAGCCTTGTAGGCTCGGTCGAACAGAGCCTTCGGCAAGCTGCTGGGGTCATCGGGATACGTGAGCAGGCCGACCTCAGTCGGCTCTGCATCCGTTTTCACGGATTCCCAAGATCTCTTGAAGACCTGGACCTCTTCGTAGATCTCTTCATATGTCGGCATCTGACTGAGCTCGCCGGCTGCCAGTGCCAAGAGGAAGGCCAGGCCTTTCTTGACCGTCTGTTCTGTGAGGTTCCTCAGGCCCAGCTGCAGATACCTTTTCAGAAGGATTTCCAGCCTTGCCGGTGCTGGCGACTTTTCCAGCATAGACCACTCAGTGACCGTGATGAAGTTTTCCGGCTTCAGCAAGGTCTGCGGCTTGCTTTCCTCCTTTCGCTTGTGAGGCGTATATGTAGTATCTGGCGGCGGTGTTGCAGCCGTGGCCGTTGCCAGAACTTTGGCTTCAACTTTTTCAAGCAACCGTTCTGACAGGGTGCTCTCGAAGCTCAGATCCTGGATCGTCTGCTTCATCTGCATGGCTTGCCCTAACGACAGAGAGCCAAGGCTCTCCAGCCGGGTGCACCAGCTGTTCATCAAAGCATCGACCGAAGCCTTGCTCCCACTTTGTGCCCACTCGGCCATAGGGCTTAACTCGGCCTGCAACTCTCGGGCCATCTCGCCGTGGCGAGATATATATAGCCGTGGCCAGAAAAGGAGAATCCAGAAGCCCCCTCTATAGGAGCCAAGATGCTACAACCCCACTACAGGAGCCAAAATGGCAGCTGCATGCACATCCATGGAAAAAGAGCATGGTACAGGTCGCCTGCATGTGTGTGTACGTGCAGATTCCCAAAATCCAGGATGCATGCAGGATCAATCTTTTTCATCGGAGGGAAGCAGGCAGGATGATTTGTCGTCGGCCTCCGGCCATGTCTCTCCATGTGCATGCACACAGAAAGTCTCTGCATGGCAGCAGATGCAGGCTGTCTATGCAGGAGCACTCCCCCACGAGGTCATCGCAAAGCAGAGAAGAAATGGAATGCACAACACTGTAGGCTTGCCCTGCCAGTTCCACGAATGCCCAGACAAGGGCACACTCCAAGCAACCGTTCCCTTCAAGCAGCACCGCATCGCCACGACATATCCGTTCCCCGGAGGGCAGCCTGACTTTTTCTGCCACATGAATCACTTGTGCCGAGGTCAGCTCCGGAATGATTTTGCGAAGTGCTGCCGCCTTCCTCCGAGAAGCTGGCTTCGGGTCCTGCAACTGCAGCATCGCTGCGAAACAATCAGCTCTTGCCAAGCAATATAGTTCTTGTCCAAGAACTTCTCGGAGAAGACCCTGCTCGTAAGCAGAAGTCTTCTTGATGTCCTCGGCGAATCTCTTGATAGTGCGATGCTTTCTTTCGTGAGTGTAGCACTGAACCATGAAACCCCACTTTTCCAGGTGCGAACCGAAGTGGAGAAGCCAATGGAACTTGGAATGCATGCGGTCCTGCCACTCAGCAGCATGCACTGCTTGCAAGAAATCGGAAACGTGCTTTCTCATCTGGCCGGGCGAAACCGCTCCCTCACTGCGAGCTCTCTGGCAGCATGCCACGAGTTTGTCCAGCTGCAAGAAACATTGGATCGCTTGCACTGCCTCAACATTTGCATTTGCCCTGGCGAGCTGCCTGAAGAAACAAGCCAATATTGGAGACAGTGTCAAGCCTTCGGAGGCCGTGCATTTAAAGGTCTCGGCTTCCTTGCATGCTTTTGCTCGGGACTGACCCAGCATCCCTTCGGCCTTGGCCGAGATGTTCCGGGGCAGGGTCCACTTGGCCACGTACTCGTCGGCGATTTCCCAGAGATTGGGAAACTGCTTCTGCAAAGCTTCCAAAACAAGCCAGGTCACTGTCTGGAAGACACCGGAGACCAGCAGGGTGTGCATGCTGTCGTGGCAATACTGTGAGACCGGCCGGACCAGCCATCGTTGATCCTCTTGTTGCAGCAGGGAACAACTATTATAAGTCCAGCCGGTGGCTTGCTGCCACGTGCTGAAATCTGCAGCATTCAGAAGCATCTTCTTCTCTGCCAGTTTAGCCATGGCCTCGTGGATGGATTGGTCGGTCGCAAGCGAAAGCTTACTTTCTCGGATCTCAGAGGAACCGACCACGGGGAGCCCGCTGCTGTGCAGGATATCACATCGTTGTGCTATTACATTCCTGCACAGCATGCACATGCGGGTGCCAGCATCCCCCTTGCAGCTCCATAGAGCTTTATGGGCACCACCGTCTTGAACGATCATTGACAAAACCACCCGGAAGAGGACGGGCGGACCTCCTGGTCGCTGCAACGATATGCACCCGTGCTCCAAATGGTTGGCCGGCCGCATGAATATGTCTCGCAGGATTTTCGAGATCCATTGAGAGACACCTGCTTCGGCCTTGGCCATCAGGCTGGATCGGAGCAGTCCTATGCATAGCCACGACTCCTCGTGCTGCAATGCATAGCTTCCAAGTTCTACGAACGAGGCATAGCAAGCCCAGATTTTTCTCTTCGTCTGGACTGCCAAAGGATTACCCGGCACGATCTCGTCCGTATAGAGGATCAGCCGCCATGCCGAGCTGGGGCTCGGAGGATTCTTGTCGATGCACGCCCAAAAATATTGGGCGAAGTTGCTGTCGGCATCCGAGATAGCAGCTTGCAGCAGAGCCCAAAAATCGACACTGGGTATCTGCAGCTCTGCACCATCTGTCTGCAAAAGTGACAGACGATTGAGGATCCTATTCTCTTTCAGGGGTTGCCAGGCAGCCTCGGCTATATGTTTTCTTTGTGTGAGTTCCGGGACACCCTCGTCCCGCAGAACTTTGCAAACTTCGGACAAAGCCGAGGCTGTGAGATGGGGCAATTTCCTTCTCAGAGCATTCACCTTCTGAAGCTTCGCTGGTCTTTCAGCAAAAGCATCGGTGCTGCTGGAGGCCATGGCCCTATATCACCACGGCACCGCACCAACAGCAAATGCCGGAACATCTCCGTGGAGAGTTCCTTCTTCTCCCTGTGCCTGCAGCAGCAAGCAGCCACATACACGCCTCCGTGGAGGCTTCCACACGCCTCCGTGGAGGCTCCCACACGCCTCCGTGGAGGCTTCCACACGCCTCCGTGGAGGCTTCTCGCATCCTTGGATGCTGGGTCTCCATGGCAACAACAAACCAAGCTACAGGACGGGTGACACAACAAATGGCCCCAGGAAGGGGTGCCTGTCTGCGAACACAACTGCACCAAACCTTGTCTGTGCTCGACTCTGGGCATCTGTATGCATGCTGCACGGCTGCTTGGGCCCTGCTTTCCGCTGCTCAGAGAACACATTTCGGCAGGCCCACAAAACCCTCAAAATATGATATAGAAAAAACTATATCATATGAAAACAAAGTCAATCATATGATATAGTAGAAACTATATCATATGAGGCCAAAATATTACATATGATATAGAAAAAACTATATCATATGATATCTGGCCCCACAGACTCATATGATATAGTAGAAACTATATCATATGGCAAGCGATGCCATCATATGATATAGAATATGCTATATCATATGGTTTCCTTTCAATATATATGATATAGAAAAAACTATATCATATTTTCTACGTTTGAATAAGGTTCCAATCTTAAGGATAACCGAAATTTATTCTTAAAAAAAAAACCCCTAAACCCTAAACCCTAGAAGAGAAAAAAGCGCGGAGACACTCTTTTTTTCACCAGACGGCAGCCGGCACTCTGGTTTTTCGGAAGACGGCAGGCGGCTGCCGAGCTAGTACCGCTGCCGAAGCTCCTGGCAGGCGATTTGGAAAAGGCGTCACCACTTTCCCGTAGGAGCTCCCAGACCCTCCTTCCGGATCGTCCGGGTCCTTCTTGTCCGGCATTGGGACGTGATCATCGTCCCGTACCGGCGACTCCTGTCGCTTACGTTTGGCCTTAGCCTTGCTGCCCTTAGCCTTGCTGCCCTTCTTCTTGTCCTGGCCGGTCTTGCCAGCCTTAGCTGCAGGCAAAAGCTTCACCGGCTTTCGATCCTCTTTGTCATCCTCGGGCTCAATCAGGGAGATTGTCTCTCCTGCCCCCGGCTTTTTTCTCTTCTTCGTGCCCTTAGCCTGCTCAGGACGGCCCTTCTCAGCTTCCGTATGGGCCTTGGCCCCCGAGGGGCCGGAGCCGCCTCTCACATCACCATAGCCATATCCCTGGCCCTTGTCGCCATATCCCTGGCCCTTGTCGCCATATCCATGGCCCTTGTTGCCGGAATCCCGCCGCACCTCCCACCTTGGGACTTCGGATTCCTCTTCGCTCTCCTCTTCCCTCCCGGGCTGCCAGTGCTCCTGGAACCGGCGCTTTGCCCGGCCTGCAGCAGCCTCCTTGCTGAGCCCTTGGGCTATGTATTTCCAAGTTCGGTGAAACACCGACAATCGGTGCTGGCGACGGGCGGCCGCATGCTCCTGTATCCACCTCCAGCAAATGGGGCACTTTTTGGACGGGCCCTTGGGCCCGTCCGAAGGCTTGTTGTCCTTCTTCTCATCTGCTGCCTTCTCATTTGCCCCCTTCAATTTTTCATCCACCTCCTTGTCCTTTTTCTCTGATCTCTCTCGTTCGCTTTTCTTTTCCTTCTTCTTCTTCTCTTTTTTATCCTTCTTTCCCTTTTTTTTATCCTTCTTTTCCTTTCTGGCCTGCTCTTCTTCTGCCCAGGACTGGAGAGCTGCCTGGGATGCCGCGACCCTGGCTGTTGCAAGCTTTCTCTCCAGCCTCTGCCTGCCGGCGGCACTTATCGGCCATTCAACAGTCTTCTCATCCAGAGAAGAAGGGACTCTGTCATGGCCCGCCTCCAGGACACGGATCTCCTTTCCCATCCAAGTAACCTTCAGCACATTCTTTTCTGCTCTTGCTTCCCTGGAAGCACGGCGGGACAAGCGAGTCTTCGCTGCTTTTCTCGGAGAGCTGCCTGTTACAGACACTAGAGCAGCCTCGCTGTCTTCCCCGCCGAAAAGGCCAGAGCTCTGTTCTTTAGTTTCTCTGCCTGCCGCTTGGACTGCTGCTCCTTGGAGGCATCGTTTCGGGAGCCCACGAGCGATAGATAAACATCGCTCTGGGACAACGATGACTTTGCCGGGTATTTTGGCAGTTTTATGCTATGCTGCTTAGAAAGCAGCTTGCACAAGCCCGGGCTCCATGGACGAAGTACCACAAACGGACCATGGTCCGTTGGTTCTAGCTCCTTGTCACCCACAGTCCAGCTGGCACCATCCAGCTTCAGGACATATACTCTTTCGATTACCAGCGGCATTGTACCTATATTAGCCTTGAGCCGAACTTTATGGAAAGATCAACAACACGTGCCTGCAAACCATCCTTGAATTCACACTTGCAAAAGCGCCAAAAAGTTCCATTGCAGACATCAACCTTGGCTCCTTTTCCCGGAAAACTCAGCAAGCGAGAACTGTCGAGTAACTCAAGAAGCCTTTCGCTTTCGCGAGGCAGCGGATCCTTGATCCAGCTCTTGGGCCGAGGCCCTCAAACTTTCGGCAGGCTTCGGCCTGTACAGGATGCACTCCTTCAGCGAAGCAGTGTTTTTCAAAATGGGAATCTTCCAGCCCTTCTCGTTCAGAAGGACTGTCGCCAGATTCGGCTCTGAGCCGACCGGGAT